TGACTATGTCAAAGTTCCGACTTAAACATGTTTTCGATGGCAGAGCAATTCACCACCGCTTTTACAGTCTTACCGAAGGACTGAGACGAGATGTTAATTATACGGAAAGAAGTCTTTTATAAGGCTCATTATAGTGTTACGAAAGTGTATTTGTTTGGTTTGTAAACCTTTATAAGGCGCATTATAGTTATACAGAAAGAAGTCTTTATGCACAAGCCCCTCAGTTGATGTTCCGACCGTGTTTTTCGCATGTGCTCTCAAAAGAACACAGCCGGAATATCAACCGAGACAACCTTACCAGAAACATTACCATTATGACATCATCATCAAACCGGGGAGGTTTTATGTTCTGGAGACTGTCACGATCACAACATCGTCACCGGAACCAAACAAGCAAACCGACCCCTCAGTTACCCTTCACTCTATTAAGAGACGATCCATGCTACCCGTAGATGGTATATCTTACTATTCAGCACGTGTTTTGCCGCTTGAATTCTTATGTTCCTGAACAATGTCAACCATCTTATTTTGACTCGAAACAATTTGGCGATTGAACTGAGCTTCATGAAATGAAAACTAATTGTCATACCTAACTCTTATATGTCATCATATATTCGCCACTTATGTGCTGTGCGCGTAACTTTGAAAATGGAATGTGTCACCCCGAAACGTTAGTGCAACCAATCAATGTCAAAGCATCAGCAAGCGACTTTTTGGTCTCAATGGTGAGCAGAGCCATGATTAGAAAACTCGACCAAGGACAGAAAAAAACTTATAAAATGTACCTACGCCAAGGCCTCCAATAACACACACACACACACACACACACACACACACACACATATGTACAACAGCTATGTACATACACATAGCTCTATTTCCTTCAGCTCGACATTGTTTATTAGCGTGACAAGTGGATGCGAGGTAGATTAACAATCTATGCTAACCAACGCGATCAATTTTTCAGCAGAGATGCCTGCCCTTCCGTGTTTGTATCTTATCCTGAAGAAGCTGCCACGCGAAGCGTATTGAATTACTTCTGTTTGAACCATTAAGAGAGGATGGTAACTTAAGTTCACACTGATGGAAACACTTTTAAGCTTTTGTTGTTGTCATTCCGTTCTGTATTTCCTAGATGTATCCAAGAATTCGAAATCTTAAAAACGTAAAATGATATTAATCTAGGTATCATCACCTACCAATCTGTGTTAGCTCCATCAAAATCACTTCACAAACGTGACAACTGTGCCGGATCAAAAGTGTCTTTGATCTGTTTATCCCCAGCTGCCTTCTTAGACGGAATTCTTGGTGATTTATTTCCATATACGTGGCTCTTGTCAAGAAAGTTCTGTTATGTCCCTCAAGGTCTTTGCCGAGACCTTGAGGGCCACAACCCCCACCTCATACCTCTTACCTGTTATGGGGGCACCGGCGAGCCCGACTGGAAAAGGATTTAAGTGAACTAATGAAGAAGAATGAACTAGTGATCCATAAAATATGAAAGTATGCCAAAGAAGTATGTAGAAGTGTACAAAACGTATTTCGAAGATGCAAGACAGCCCAATGCATGTTAAGAAGAAAAGCACAAAAAGTGATTTGAATAAACGTCCAGGGCCTTTTGCTGGTTCGAAGGTTGTTCATTGTTTGGTCCGAAAATGTACCTTCCTATAAAGGATTCCCGATGGCCTCAGCAAGGAGGTTTTCCGGCTTGTAAAAAGTCTGCCGATCACTTCATTTTCGCCAGTTTTGGAAAAGACTCCGCTGAAGTGTAAAGGGACCATGTCTGCTTACGAAGGGTTCCGCTGAAGTGTTAGGAGGCCACTTTCTGCTTACAAAGGGCCTCGCTCAAGTGTAAAGATGTTCCTGTCTGCCTGCAAAGGGCTCCGCCAAAGTGTAAAGTGGCCCTGTCCGCCTACAAAAGTCATCCCTGAAAAGGACACCAGTCAGTTTGGCAGCAGCATCTTTGGAGACATTCAGGGACCCCTCACCACTGCAATGATCCACTGTAAAAGCCGACAATGTGTGTCTCTGCTACCCAGTAGGGTCTTTTTAGAGAACCTTCCATAGCCCGACAGGGGTCATTTTGTGGCCGGCATAGGCCTTCTCTAAATAGGCAGTGGACCCCACCACGCTATCAGGTGTCCACGAGCGTTCCCTCAGGAGGAAGGAGGAAAAGGCATTCTTGCATGCAGTATCCCTATTGACCTTTAGGAACACCTATCAAGTAGGTAGGAGCATTTTAGCGGGCACATTGTCGCCCTTAAAAAGACTCGTTGATCACAAAAAGACATTGCCGACTCCAGCCAGCACCTCGGTTGCAAAGGACCGGCAAGCAGGGGCCCGCTATCGTCGGGCATAGAATCGGTATATTGCCAAAGAGCCTGAGAGTGGACCAAACTCAGTCCTCCTGTCCGTCCCGTCCAAATGATTCCAGCTCCGGGTGAGGCTGGTCCAAGTCGTAATTATCCCTGCCACTCACCGGGTCAGTTCACCAGGCATGGTGAGCTCAGCGACGAAGGTCTCACTTTGAGAGATCTCGTCGTTTTACGTCATCATATAATTTCGACCCCATCGGCTCCCTCTGGTTTCGAAGGTCCTTGGATCCGAACGCCCCCTCCCCCCCCCCCCCCTTTCCTTCCATCTCACACACTTCGCACTCCCTGGGCGAAATCTTGGCTACGCGACTGTAATGGATCAGGAAAAGCTCATACGTCATTGGAAAACCCCACGACCTGCACCTTGATTACATTTAAAATAAAATCCACATGGTTTGCATCACTTGAAAACCACATGGTTCTTGAACTGAATGACTGTCGTAAGGTTGGGTGAAGAAACCACCATGCGTATGGCATTAATTATTCGCACAGCGTTTACTCACTGGTAATCAACGGCGAGAACCGTGCAACGAGAAATTGCAGTCACTCCGGCCTTCGTCAATGTCAGCGTTGTTTACCCAACACTTCTAAAAATTATCCGAGTACCCTGTTTTGAATTTATCAACAGTTGAAGGCTAATTGAATGGACCACTTGGGCCAATCGATTCCCAGAAAAGATGATCCATTCTGGAAACCAATGGACCATTATAGATCCATGATGGACCTGTGGTGTGTCATTTTACTCTGCTCTCCGTCAGTAAGAGCGCGGGACATCACGTTAGTTTTTAAACGATTCACATTAATCGAAACCGGCTGCGAAGTATCCATTATTTTCCATTGAAGAATACGGTTAATGACTGACTTCAAATGAATTGTAGGGGTCTAACGTCCCATTTATTGTCAAACGTCCTCTGATGAGACATGACTGAAAAGACCAAACGAAGGGTTAATTTAAGAGATGGATAATTTCCCCAAACCTGAACTAGATAAATGTTTTGAGCTCAAGCCTACAGCCAGCAATGCTTGCCAGTTTTCTGATAGTGATTTCCGACTCGATGCCCGAACGCCGGTTTTGAATGCACGGCGGGCGAACATGTTGCCGTGGCTGCAAAGCCAAGAACAATGTGCTGATACCGTGGCACATGCGTATTCCAGGTGTGTAGCCACGTATGACGTCAGTGTCCTGACGCGACATGTCTTCTAGACATGTGCCTCGGTATGACGTCATTGTCCCAAGGCCATGTCAATGCACACCTACCAGGCGTGTGCACTCGTGTGACGCCAGTGCCCCGAGGCAATGTTCCTTCACGTCTTCCAGGCGCGTGTGACGTCACCATTCCGAGGGCTTTCCTTCCCTCATGTGACGTCAGCGCCACGAGGTCATGTTCATGTACCCATTCCAGGCGTGCGCCCCGTATGACGTCAGTGTCCTAATGCAGCATTCCAGCACGCATTCCGGCGTGTGCCCCGTATGGCGACACTGAGTATGACAGTGCGCTGAGGGGATGTCCGTGCTGACCCCCGAACTGAGACAGACATCAGGCAAATAATCGGGACGATGGCCCAGCTCCCACGGATATACATTCTTGAATCCAGCGTTACTTTCTCCCTGTCCGAACTAAATCCCCACTTCGTGCCGTCCTTTATAAGAAAACTGCACAGCGCAGTTGTATAGGAAAAATATAATTTAACAAACGGATGCGACATACAGAGCACAGGCTGGTTACTCCCCGGCGAGACCATGCCGGCCGCAATAGTAGGAATTTGTGCAGAGCGTTACAGCAATAGGGGGTGGAACCGTTCCAATACGTCTAGCAGAGGGAGCATACTTACGTGCTTATATAGGTTTTGTACAAAAGGAATCAACCGAAGGTTTGTATCCAGACCCAGAATCAGCGAATCAGCCCAGGGCGCTTATATTGCATTGGTAATCGCCAGACGACCACCCTGGCAAAATATACCGACACTGGCCCTCACAGGTTCGTGAATATGTCAACAGTTGTCCCCAGTGACCATGCTAGGTCGGTACGAACTCGCGGCATATATTTGAGTGCAACGGATGTACAACGTTGAATAATCACAACTAAAACGTGTGCGTATGCTATCCCTATTCCACGACACACGATACATACAAAAAACGATACATATGAGCCCGACGGTGCCAGAGAGGCTTGCAGACGCGCAACACCACCTTCAGCACCTCTGTCTCAGCGAGCAACTGAACGCCAATGGGTGCGGCACAAGGGACCCTTAACCCTGAGTCGCAAAAACAAATATCGTTGAAGACAAAGTTTCTCTCAAGACTGCTGTGTCGTGAACACAAGTACGCACATGAAGCGATATTTGTAACAGCTATACCACGAGTACGGTTACAAATCCCGACATGCTTTAACAGGAACACGTAACGAACACAGTAAAAGCTGGTACAAAGTAAAGCCGTTAGATATGCTGGGGCAGCAACCAGAACCCGAGTGCACCGTCCACACACTTGGCTCTTGCCAGTAGTAGTCGCAACGTTCCCATCGACAAGAAGCTCTGATCCGGAACGTATCACCAAACGCGACAGAAGAGCCAGGACCACACAGCGGGACTCTTCCCTGTTACTAACGCCCCCCCCCCCCCCCCTCCCCAGCCGACCACGCCCGGGCGACAGATGGTCCCTCGCATTCCAACCGTCCACTGTAATCGTGGCGTTGGTCCGTCGGCACGACGACAGTAAGTACACTGGTGAGGTCAGATGTGGGCCGACGGGCGCTGTTGCGGCCAGTGATAGGCCACGTACCACGACCAGCGGCTGAGCGCGGCCGAGCGCAGCTCCGCGACCGGCGCTGACTAGAGGGGACCGTCGAACACAGGCATCGACCGTCCCCGCACGAGTGTGGGGCACCCTGCCGCTCGCCGCGCCGGCACTATCACAGTGAGCATATCGCGTGCTGGACCTCCCGGGCGGCGCGGGCCGGGAGCACGGGCGGCCGGCGGCGGCGCCGGCACACGGCCGCTGGTCGGCCGGCCCGTCACAGGAGAAAGAACAGCAGCACGACGATGACGAGAATGCCCGATAGCACAGCTATCGCCGTCCACTGTCGACGGTCTGGAATCAGCAGCGGCGGGCTAGCAAACTGCCAGCGGCGTGGGGATCGCTCGGGTCACGAACCAACGCAACCTACACCATGCAGCGGAATTTAGCTACATCTGGGACATCGTGGACGGGGTTTATAAGAATGAAAAGCTTGCTAATGGATCTTACACCGAAAAGGAAGTGATGAAGAGCGTGGTTTTGGCGATGACTAGGACTGCAGTCTTGGGGAAACAAGCAAATGGCATCGGCCATCCCCGCACGAGTGTGGGGCACCCTGCCGCCCGCCGCGCCGGCATTATCACAGTGAGCATGATAGTGCCGGCGCGGTGTGTGGATGAGCAAAAAGTGAGCATGAGCAAGTGGGCGCAGCGAGCGACAAGCGCGCGCCGTCCATACAAATGACAGAATAAAAATGCATGCGCGCCTTCTCTACCACTGGTAGTTTAACCTACGTTTATGCGCAGGTACCGCGTATTTCGGCAATTTTTTACAATTGTTTGGAACTGCAAATCGACCTCTGTCCTTTGGTTCAATGGAAATTGCATCCGACTTGCATGCGCGCGACGAACGAGTCTGCATAAACAGATACTGATGGGACATCCATGTGGATGATGGAGCTGCAGCAGCATTTATTCGCTAGTTACCCCTAAATGGGTTCCCTGTGTGCACGCAGTTTCAAACTGATAATGATACTTCTCCAAAAATGGCAAGTGGCTACGGGCTTAATCTATTGCAGCTGACAAACAGCATACAATCCAGCATAAATCACAGAAGAATGGCTAATTTTCCACGTTATATCCGTATCATCGCAAACTTCGTGATCTGGGTGATTGGGATTCCGAATCACAGGCAAAAAGAGGCGTTTTTGACAGTGGATGACGCCTGAAACAGCATATTACGTGGCTCATTGAAAGCTTTGAAGTCCACAATGGGATAGTACAGTTGATGATGAAAGGAAAACGTGAGCGCGTTAGCCAATGCCAAAATGATTGAACTTGCTGCCAACAGCCGCCTTAAAAGTCCACGTGTAGGCTTCGCACTGCACAACTCGATGCCTCACAGAATACACCAGGCACGGCGGAACTGAACGAATCACAGTCACAGGAAGCTTCAACAACCGGAGAAACCAGCGAGCGAAACAGACCTGTCCGACACTGCTCTCTTACCGTTCGTTATCCGAAGAACCTTGGCCATCTTGTTCATGGTGGTCTCCATTTTGCCTTGCGCTGAGTCAACGTCATGGGAAATGTCCTCAATCATGCTGAAAGCACACCAATCATCACATTCCAATGCTCTCGGCAGCAGCATGGGCGTAGCATGACATCATTGGAGCTTTAGGACGCACTCAGCTGCTGCTGAGGCTTTATGGCGTTGCCTGCCACTCACCAAGGCCGGATAGGCGGGCGCCATGGGAATCGTGCTCCGTTCCTGTGGTTTCCCAGACGCGCAGTTTAACCACAACCTGTCGGTGCCGCTCCCCTTGCACGTAGCTGCAGCATATTACGCGTGAGCTTAAGACAACTAAGGAATCGAAGTTCTATGAGATCACGCGCTAGCATCAAGTAGCCAGTTCAAGACGTGAGCGCTTTAACCTACGCTGAGCTACGCACGAATAAGAGCTACATATTCGTGGGCCAGCAGACGTTAAAACATTCTCTCCCGGAGGAGCCAAACATGAGGGCCCCAAAACTGCACAATCATTTGAGTTCTGCTATAAATGTCATTCTGACACACACACACCCCAGCTGCCATCCACCAATTCTCAGCCCACTGTTATCAGCGGTTGAAAACAATCAATGGAGGTGGTCGGGAATATTTGTTTAGCGTCCGGGCAGGAAAAACGAACAGTCTCTGATTCGTTCCAGATCACACAGAAGACAAACATGTCGGCATGTGACACCGCATCCGGGGTGACGCGAAACGCCAAACACAAACCCGCAACCATACATAGGATTTCTGAGAGGCTCGCGGTTTCTCACTTCATGTGAGGTGGTGCGCAGGTGCGAAAACATGCCCTATGCACACATGGTAACCATAGAAACGTCGTGCAGAAATGCACACCCCTTAAAGGAAGTAGTCCACCTTTGTATGGGTTTTGAACTGAAATAGTCGTCTTGAAGACCATTCAGTGCAGTTCACAACCCTGCCATTCTGAGCACCTAAAATCCTCTACTTTATAAACTACGCACCCGCAAAGGTATGCAGACTACTTCGTGCAGACTATTTCGAGGCCATCCAGGCAGCATGACGCCATAGCAACGCCATTCAGATCCTGCCCTCCCACGGGCGGTGTGACGTTGGTCGAGCCGTTCAGATCTGGCGCCCATGAGCCCGATATCCAAATATAGTGGACGCCAATTGGCTCTACATCACTGTTGAGCAGGCTGTGCAAGCTTCAATCACGACTTACGTCTCGTGCCACATAAGAAGTTCGACATGATTTCCACTTCTTACGGAAATAACACTACTTAAGCATAGCGTCATGATCAGGAGCGTAAATACAAGTAAACTTCATAAATTCACTGATAAATACGCAAGAAAACCACCAAAAGGAGCCAAAACATGAGCACATAACGAACACTTCCGACTGCTCAACGAACACTTCCGCCAACGCCGCTGCCAGCTCTCGGCGAGCCGATACCCTGGATGTGAGTGCTAGGGTGGCAGCTTCTATCAGCTGGTTTCGCAGCACCTTAACGTCATGCAATAAAATGACTACTACTTTTGTCTAGAGCAGCGTTTTCACTTAAAAGCATACAAGTTATAAGTAAGTTTTGTTAGTCATATCTGATGCTTCCCTCAATACCGTCAAATTTGGAACATACCGGTAGCGGACCAATGAGCATTAATATGTGGTGAAGGGGGTTTCCATGTTGGATACTTTATTCCGGCATCACTCACCGGGCGTTTGACACCCATTACAAGAAGGGCCTGACCTACAATCCATGTGCCAGAATGTGCTTTCCTCCGAGTGGTAATGTAAAAATATGTACAGCAATGATGCGTATATCTTGCATCTCACGTAAGCGCCAGTTAGCTGAGGTCCTTGTCACGATCCGGTGCCTTCTTATCGGTACCGGGTCTCAGGGCATCGCATGGCGTCTGTGGTCTGCTGCAGTAACCTCTCCCCAGCTGCCTCGATAAAATGGCACCATTCGTACGCTGGTGACATCGGTGCTGCATGCGGTTATTGCTTACTGGTCACTTCAAATGCTGCACTATCGGCTGAGTGCTTCAGAAGAGGACCACGAGCATCATCCGCCCACAAGTAAGAAGCATCTTAGAATGCAGCCAGCCGCTAACGGCTGACTGCACATGCCATAGACGGACAACAAAAAAGTTTGGAGGGGGAGGGAAGAAAAATCATGCAAACAAGCCTGCGAGTAATATTTGGCTACACCCCAGGTGACTCTCCGACTACACATAACTGACAGGGCGCAGCCGTCGCCGCTACGCTGATACAGATGCCAGATGACGGTGTCGGAGCCGTTCCACTGTCTACGCAGCAACACCAGCATTTAGGGAATGTATATTAGCACGGCATCTACCATTCGCCGCCGCCAGATGGTCACCCCTGAGAGGGTCGCCGTCGCTCTCTGCAGGCATCTGTCGATACCCACGCACACGCACATGCGTGACACTCACGCGCATCTCTGATACCCACACTCTCGCATACATGATACACACGCACTCAAACTGACGCGCACAAAATACGCATGCACGTGAGACTCTGACACTAAAGACTTTGCACACAGTTGCCTAGTATGACGCTCCTACATTCACACACATGCCACACGCGCACGCGCCCACTATCACACACTCACACGTTCTGTTCGTCGACCTCGGTGCCGATCTGGCGTGACATGGTGCGCAGTGTGCCGACCGAGGCGCCGATCCGCTCCAGCTGCTCGTCCTGCCGGCCGGCCAGCCGGCGCTGCTGCTGCAGCAGGCGCCGCGGCGAGCCGACGCCACCCTCCTCCTCGCCGTCGCTGCCCAGCAGCGGCTGACGACACCCGACGGCGTATGAGCAGCGGACGCCCAAGCGGTGCGGGAGTAATCAGAGCGGAGCAGACGCCCGCCAGAGCTGGGATCAGAGCGGGACAGGGCCGTGCCAGAGCTAAGATCAGAGCGGGGCAGACGCCGCCAGAGCTGGGAACAGAGCGAGGCAAAGGCCGCCAGAGCTGGGATCAGAGCGGGGCAGAGGCCGCCAGAGCTGGGGTCAGAGCGGGACAGGGGCGTGCCAGAGCTGAGATCAGAGCGGGGCAGAGGACGCCAGAGCTGGGATCAGAGCGGGGCAGAGGCGCACCGGAACTGGGATCAGAGCGAGGCAGAGGCGCGAAGGAACTGGGAACAGAGCGGGGCAGAGGCGCCCCGGAACTGGGAACAGAGTGGGGCAAAGGCGCGTCACAACTGGCATTGGCGCGGGGTTAGTAAAAAGATGCTATGGCAATGGAAGAGATTGGCAAGTGGTTAGCCTTTAACGCCAGAGCCAGCAATAACAGCAAACGTTCGCACGCGGACAGGGGGCCTGGCTCTGTACACCTGGCTAGGTGAGTCACACGTGCCTCTTTACATTGGCCGGTCGAAATTTGTGTCGGGACGTGTCAAAGCACGGACCACTCCACATGCGATATAAAGTCGACAGGCAGTTTGCTTTGCATGCGTCTTGTGGATGCAACGCATGCTATCAGTGGAAATATATATTTCTAGTTTTTTCTCAATAAAATATGCAGTTGCCGAGGTCAACAAATGTTTTTGTTCTATGACATGCATCTGTGGCTTACAAAGTATTATTTACAAGTGCAGAGTAAAAACACAACTTCAATACATATCACGCACCTAACTTAACATAAATCCGAGTTTAATCATCACTTACTACGGTGAATTGGTGTCCCATGGCCGTATGAGTACCAATCCACACAGCAATTGGGCGGTCATCACCGATGTCATGTTTTACCTGTCTGGCAGACCGATCTCTATCCATTTCTGTTGAAACCAACTGGCGTTCTTGAATTTGTTCCGATCCAGTTGAAGTCCTGTAAGGAATTTTGGTTCATAAAAGCCAGCCTGCAAACATTGATACAGATAGGGATGGATCTATTCATTTGGAAGCATGTTTGTCCACTTCGTTATCAAGCAATTCTGAGCACATTATCCATGTTTTTGGTTACAAATTTAGCTCGAATTAGGCGTAGTATCCATGTTGCTCGATGTAGACGGATACAACCAAATGGCATGGAATAGCAGATTTCTGAAGCACGGTTCGAACCACTAGACTTGAAGCACAACTGGCTTGTATTTACACAATCAGTTTTATGCTTCAAAATTCTGTCCACTTCGGATGCAAAACGCTAGTCTGCTCCGATTTGATTAGTCTCCATTCGTTTTGATCCGATTTCCAAAATTGGTTTGGTTTGCGATGAGTTACGGCAGCACAGTGATTTAGCTAGGCGTCTGGGACACCAGACATATGGGTTCGATTCCCAGCGGTGCTCGCCATTCCGGTTCCAAAGAAAGACGGACAACTCCATGGCGCCATAGCCGGCGATTGCATCGTTAAGCCCAAATGACAACGAATGGGGCTGGGCATCCGTGCATCAACGTTAGAACAAAAAAAAAAGAAAATTTTTATAGGAAATGTAATGGGCTGAGGGGAACAGACATGACTCATCAGTAATTATACCGCAACTACCATTTTTATTCTGGGCCCTTCTGCTTCCCTCAGAAACAAATGGAATTACGAATCGTGCTTGACAAGGCTTAGGAACGGAACCTCCCGAGAAAACTCCATGAGTGACAGAAATGCTTGAAGTGGTAGATTTCTGCACAAGTTGACCGCTTGTCAGAGGATGGCACGAAAAATTTAATCAGGCACGTGTTTCGCTTTTCGTAAGCATGTCCCGGAACATTGTGATCATATCTCATACCCCTCTTCCTCGAACGTGGTAGCAAAATGTGCGTAGATGCTTAATGTTTGCATACAGTTCTGTAGACAATATGGACTGAAAATAACAGGCCTTGGACCAAGTAAGGTGTGCAGATTTTACTCAAGAAAACCGGGGAAATTCAAATGTTTTTTGTTCTCGGTGGCCTTTGCCACAACGTTTCGAGAACTGTAAGTTCGGGCGGGTATTGGTAACAGTAAAATAGACCGTTGTACGTGCCGTTTTCTTGACCGTTCGTTTCTTGGGGCTGGCCACAACTGCTGTATTGTAGACTGGTTTCGAAAAGCCATTTTCAGTTCAAGTGCTGACGCACCTGTGATGCAGATGGTGCACAGATCGCTTAATAATTTGTGGGTGATGCATTTTCTCCTACCGTGCGGTTGGTTTCGCCGGTCTCGGTCCACTTTGATTGACGAGCTCGGAGACCAGTCCTTGAGAACGCCCAGTTCCATGTGGATCCATAGTCTACATATGATAACGTGTGATGAATTGTAAACATCACCCTGCATGTCTACTGTTGACATCAGGCTGGACAGCTAGGAAAACACATGTCTACAAATTTAGACAGCCCAACTCTTAAGGATTTTATCAAAGTTTTGGTATGAACCTTTTAGATGGATGGATTTCTGGGCATCAGAGCTTGTGCTAAGCAGTGCTTGTTGTGTAAGTATTGACCCCAGCATTTCAATGTGCAAGTCCAGGCCATTGACAGAGCTTGGCGGTAATAGTTTAATGTATTAACATGTTCCGCACAGCCCATCCCACCCCATGGTGCCACTTTGTTGAATTGTGCTTGCTGTTTTTGAAAACTGCATGGAGCTGTGTGCAGTGGCTGCAAAAATATAATCTTCTAAAAAGCATGATAGCTGTGTAAGGCCACTGCATCTTAAAATTTTCTCATAGTTTAAGTCACACTCTTTTGGCTCCATATTTTCTTCTGATGCAACTTTATGGCACAGGTCTCATCCTTTACAGAGTTATAAATGCTTCAATTCACCTAGTTTTCTTAACAGCTCAAATGTGCACATTCAGATGTTTGCACAGGGTATCCAAGGACTTGACACAGTTTTCACTCAAATCTACTTGGTCCACATGGAGACAAGAGTCCATAGCACAAAGCCCAGCAACTGCTTTTGACAAGGGCAGCTGGGCATCAAAGATATATACCTGGTGATATGCTGATTCAGATTCCAAATTATGTGCACCCAAAACCATACTTACCAAAAAGCATGCCTAAAGAGTTGTTTACTCTGTTATATTTTGGACTATCCTTTGTCTGTCTTCTGTTCCTTCACCAGAGGTGCACTTATCTCTGCAAGCTCAGACAGTTCTGATCTTGCCAGTAGCACAGCAGTAGGACAAATGGTGCAAAGGTTTGAGAGCTAAGAGAAGGAAGAGCTAGGTAAATGGCCATTTTTACAGTTGAACTCTTGTAGGGCATCACTATAGTGCTGGGCATGCCTCAACCCTGCTTTCATGATGAAGCAGAGAGCTAATATTGTCTTAAGTGTCATCATTTCCATGAAAAAGGGAGGAACATTTCACACCTATTCTTAAAATGCAGGGAGGCCTTCTGTTTGAATAAGTGGCATCACCTAGCATACACCTGCCAAATGCATGTAATAATTTGGCAGTTTGCTAGTTTTCGGGTACTAAGTTGTGTTTGGCTTGACAACCATTTCTATACTTAAAATTTATGAAAGGAAAGCCATAGTTATCTCATTTCAAGCAGACCATGCCCCCAAACCTGTTCTCACCTGGCAACCCATGGCAGGCTTTGGCAATATCATATTGTACTTGAGCAGAAATGAAAAAAAATAAATTTTAGCAGCAATTTTATTTATATTTTAGGAGTGGTTTTGCTATTGGATGATGCCTGATTAAAATTGAATTATGTGAAAATCTATGATACAGGTACAGTACTTAACCTCCCTGCAATCCATATGAGGGAGTTGTGCTATCTGGTATTGAATTCTGGCATTTGACACCTCAGTGAGAGCTTTACAGAGAGTGGCTCTCAGGGGTTGGGCTTCCCATTCATTTGGTGATGGGCAAACCCCCCAACTTTGCTGAGAAAGTGGGCCAAATCTGACAATAAACCTGGCTTTCCGCATATCTCATAGGCATGTGAGTGATTTGTCATGCTATGCACCCTCCTCTGCCACACTCCCATAATCCTTCTCATTGCACAGCAGGGTGGCTGTAAAATATTTGACTGGAGATGGTACTACTTAAATAATCTCACCATAACACTGTAACTATGGTCAGGGAGCAGTCCAGCCACCAATAACTTTGAGAACAAATGAGTCAAATCCAGGAAGAACCCTGTTTTCTGTGCATTCTGTGGGCAGGCTTGCTATTTTCCCTCTTCAGACATTTAATTTACTTTGTGAAATTACACCTCAAGTGAAAGGTGTAGTTCAAAAATATATTAATACTCTCTTTAATGACATGTAATGCACCTCAGCTGACAGCATCAATGATATTACTCCTCCAGTATGATGCATGTAACACATGATGATAAGGATGAGAACATCATGGATTATGCATCATGTGCTTTGCTGCCCTTGATATGCATCAGAAAATATATTACTGGTGCCCATTATGTACCTTGGCTGTCTGCTGCCACAAGAGGCAAGTATATATTCTTATGCATAGAATGGAAGGTGATATTTTGATTAAGCATAAAACTACAACAAAAGAGCAAGAAGAAGGCAGTGAGACAGTTTTCCAGGTATGGTTCCAACTCACACAACAAATTAAAAGCAAAAGAAAACTTATTGTTACAAACTGACATTCTCTGATATGGCACACACCAATTAATTGTTTCAGAAGAACAGTTCAGTTAGGGCTAAATCTGGCATTATGCTTGACCCAGACGAGCATAATGCCAGACTTCAAAACTAGCACTAACTTCAGCGTATTGTAAGGGATGTGGAGTATCCTGTGTAGCAATCACGTGCCAAAAATCCATACTGCCACGCATGAAGGCCCTTGACCAACACGTGATGTTCCCCATCTATGTTGGGACCCGACCGTCACTTGCCGCAGAAGCCTTGTGTTGTGAATTCAACTTTGGGATCCTACCGCACCGACCTCAGCCCACAACTGCTAGAAATCGTGAAAGCACCAGTATGGCACCACAATGCAAAGCTCGCGGCTATACGCATAGTATTGGTTAAATTTGTCCAACAATTGCCGCATGAAGTGCGCCTACAAAAATGTCTGTTCTGAGCCAAAATCGCCCAAGGTGAGCGACAGTCGGACTACTAAATATGCCTGTATTTATTTATGTTCGTCTTGCAACAATGGGAAATGATTAGCATGCAATGAAGTGCACTAACTAGTACAGCTGAACACTCCTTCCTTTTAATTCGGAGAAGAAGCAATCAAAATACAACAGCCTTAAGATGGTTCCCATTTGACTTCAGCGTACTTCTGCTTCCCGACATCGCCAAGATAGTGACATGACAAATTGACTTTTCAAGAGTTCATAGGAAAATCTTAAAGATCCGGAGCAGCCAGAAGCTTGGACAAAGGCCCCTGATGGTGAAAGCCCCCCCCCCCCCCCCCATAAAAAAATCACCAATGACTGAACATGGTTCATTTGATTTCGAGGGTGCATTGCCCTTGTCGTTTTTTATGTTAACCCTCTGTAACTAGAACAGCAGTCAGAAGCTAGCGAAGGCTGCGACCGTTTGGATTTTGAAGTCAGCAAACTGAACGGAGCGGGCGAGAGGCGAATGACTGCATGGAATAATGCACAGGTGCTTTTCATTTAACAGCGGTTCAGTACACCATTCTTATGAATTACAGACCAAAATGGGAAGCACAAACTTGCATTAACACGGCCAACCCACGCTTGTGTGGAAATGTTCAACCTCCCGTCAGAATTGATAAATGAGAAGAAAAAAAATTGTAGCATGGTTCTGGGCATGCGCACGCAAGAGTAGTGCCGCAGACAAGGAGGGAGCACTGGGGCACATGATCCCCCACTTAGGTCCCGCAGCTACGATTATGGGATTCTCGGGGCCACTTGTCTAATAAAAGTATCGTGGCCGAGTCAGCAAGGACCCGTGTCTGAGGGGCTCGTAGAGGGGGGTCGTAGGGCCTTTCGAGGCCAAAAATCAAGCGCCTGATTGGAAGGCTGAAGGGTCCGAGGAGCTGGTGGTAGGTCACAAAACGGACTCCCACTCGTAGGGCCGTAATCTGAAATGTCATCCAAGGAGCCTCTTGCACCGATTGGCGACCCCTAAGACAGTGCATTTCCCTACTTCGGCCAGAGATCACCAACACCGAACAGTCGGCTCCTGCGTCGGTCTGAGCTTTAGGGGTCCTATCTCATGCAGAGATAAGGCCGGGCCCGCGATTTACATTGGTTTGTGATAACACTAATCTGGGCTCCTGCATTGTTCAGTGGTCCACAGTGCCTAACAGGGTATTTTGTGTCAACAAGGGACCTCGAATCGGTCAGGAGAAGATCTGCTCAAAAGCGACGCCACTACCAGGAAGGATTAAAGAAGATCGCTTTTGTGGAGTGGTCAACCCTTTCTTACACTTTTGTAATATTCCAGTCCAAAACATTGGAAGGCCCAACTCAACATTTTGGGGCCAGGGCCTTAACAAAAGAATACAAATCGACATCCGTTGGTTAAGCCTGTAATTAAGGATTTTGAACACAGTCGCTGGTGTTCGGGGTTCAACAACTTTGGACTTTGGTGACCTCTGGTGACGGCAAATAAGTTACCACTGTAATGGGCACTGCCAAGTTTATCTTTGATCCAAGTTCTGGCAAAAACTGAATCTCCTAGTGTCAAACTTACATAATGATTATAGGAGGCTTTCCTACCTTGAGCGTGCGGAGGGAGAGGGAATTTCTGGACTGTTATCGAAGCTTGCCGAGAAAGATTGGATAGACAGAATAACGTTGCGCTCAGGCATGGCTGCTAAGCATGTCAAGCGTTTTAACCCTTAAAGCGGGATATCGCTGGCCTCCTCCCATCACAGGCAACAGCTCCGTTTTTGCTCCTCGCCTCTCCGTCAATTGAGGATTAAGAGGACACTGCCAGCGTAACGATTGGGTAATCAGGGATGTGTGTGTAACCCCGTCCTCGGGGTTGGAAGCATGCAGAAGTACGGGGTTTAATTCTCTGCGGTTTCCTTCTTTCATTCCACGGTGGGGGGATGGGGGGGGGGGGGGGCAGGAAAGCGTGAGTGAAATCAGCAGCAGTCCGTTAGTCATGTTCAGCAGCAACTGACGACGCCTTTAACTTAAACAAATTTGCCAACGATAACCCAAGATGCTCATTACGCGACAGCTTTTCATAGGGCATCCAGTGGTTCATATCCTTGCGTCAAAAAGGCCATCCGTTAATTACAAGCCAAAAGAAAATGTAGCGGAATGTTGAGCAACGACAAATTGTCATCAGTGCAGTCGCTTAAGAAACAAATGGAAAGATCCTTTAGATCTTTTATCAATTAGTTGATATCAAGTTGTGATTCCGTGTTTTATTTCACTTCATTGTTTTTTAATGTTTCATATCATGGTTTATTTCAGCACATCAGTTTCTCATATCATGTCTTATGTGGTTACTGCACTTTATTACAGATAGCCTCGACAACAGCATCAGGAGCAGCAATATTACATCATCGGCCTTCACCAACACCACTTGTACACAGATATCGCACGGATCGGACACCGACACCACCGACATCTTAGTAACTTTCCATGGTCCGCACAACCCGTCCAGCCTAGCCGGGCCGGCGTCAGTAGCATCGGCAAGTCAGTAACATAGCATGGGCTTACCGTCCCGGCTTCGGGGAAGTCTAGAGGTTGCCGTTCCCGCTCCGGGGAGGTTTGAAGATTACCACCCCGGCTCCGGATAGGTCTGGAGTTCCCGTCGTAGTCTAGTCTAATGATTACAAGTGTACCACAAACACCCAGACAGCAAGCACCAATACCACCAATATTAACACAAAACAATATATGGTGGAATACGTGAAACAGTTAAAAACACCATTGTCTGCGAAAGGTACCTGCAGCGGGCGTACAACACATCATGTTTCATTTCAGTCCATCAGTTTCTCATGTCATGCGTTATCTCTATTGACTTTGGCACAGTACGCTATGACCTGGAAAATCTCGAGCCCTTTGACTGTCTTTTTTGTTTCAAGATTTAATCCGAACCTTCTAAATGAATGTTTTGTATCAGAGCTCGTGCTAAGCAGTGCTTGTTGTGTGAGCCCTCACCCCCGCCTTCTGATCAGGAATGCCCCGGCTGACGGCAGAACAAAACTTGTTAGCGAAAGTTTAACATGACACAATGTTGAATGGAAGTTCAACATACTGTCATGGTCCGTTCTACCCTCTGACGTCACCTGACTTCCAGTGTGGTCGCTGACACCGGCCGCAAACCAATCCTGTCGAGGAACAGATAGCGAGCGCTTAGAGCTTCCCGAACACACCCCGCCACGGGTGGGTGGATGGAAGGTAAGCGTCCTAGCCAACTGAGCTATGAGGACAGGAAAATGTTTTACAACTATAAAACATTGACAATGCCATGGATACTTCTTGGCCTTTTGGGTGGCACCCAAAACTATTATCTCTGGAGGTTACCAAATACTAGATCGATGTTTTAGACTGCCAATTGTAACAAATGGTGCCAGAAAATGACACTGTGAGGTAAATATCCGATCAAAGCGTATTTCAATCAAATTTTCACACTAAATGCAGTAAAGCTATAAGTTGAGAAAAGCAAGATGGCTGACCCATAGGTGAAGTCATGCGCGGTTACGCGATGACCTTGCACGAGCAAGTACACATGACACGTTTCCAGACAGCATATGGCGTGGCGAGTCTAATGACGTCAGTTGAATTATCGAAAACCTGATGCATTGAGTTGGAAAATTGCCTATTTACGGACATTATGGGCTTGCCTTTCAAAAATGAGCGTCACTAGATGGTGCAATCAAAACCATTCGACTTGTCACATCATGCACCGTCTGAAAACGTGGCATTTATACTCGCTCGTGCAAGGTGAACTGATGTCCCCTCACTTCTGGATCGATCGCTTACCCTTTTCACCCCAACTTTTCCACTGCAATTTGCGTACAGATTCAACACATAATATTCAGATTAATTTAAACATGCCAGTTCGCCACACATACCCAGCAGGACGTTTTATATTTGCCAGCGTTGAACATGTGCCGGACGAAGACTGTAAGTCTTTGATAATTTGCAGAGGTCATAGCTTCCGATGCCTGGCGAAAGGCCAAGGCCGTGATATGTCCACGTTATTTCGAATGTTCTATACTCGTACCGAGAGAGATTTTCGAGGTCATAGGGCTGATGTTCAAGTCAAGAGAAAGAATGCATTAGTTGCATAACTGATAAGTTGCAAAAAAATCAACAATGTCATTTGATATGCTTGATAGACCAATGTGTTGAGAGCATTACTTAATCGGCGTGACATTCCGGATTGGATATATATCATGCTGGTTGGTATTTAACAATATTTATGTGTTACTATATGTTGGTATAAACGAGCTTTATTGACCCCTAGAGGTCAAATCACTTAATGCCCACAAAAAGGGTTTGCGTGATATGTCAGCGTATCCCGGGATATCGTTGATACGAGTTTCTCCAAAATAGATGTTTGTCGATTTCTCACGAGTTTAATTATCGAACTGTTACCAACTACACACACGCGTGTTTGCCGTGCCCTGCCAACCCCTTGCGCCGCCTTGGCGCACACCACGAGACTCGAGAGCGAATAGAGGTCAGGAAGGGGACCGGTGGCTGGAGTGCCTGTGGGGCTGTTCTTGCTGCTATGTAAGGCAGACCGGGCACATGCGGCCACTCGCAGAGCACAACAGTAGAACGCAGCAA